ATTCCCATACTCTGAATACTCAAGCATATTTTTTTTTATCTTTACCAAAATAGCAGATTTTAAGCACTGTTTGAAAGAATACGTCCAGTTCTCTCTGAAATCTTCATGAAGATATTCAAGTGGAATGTTTATCCTTGAGACATAAAAATCCAAATGCTGAATAACTGATCACCATAACCAGCAAATAAGGCTGACTCGCTACCAGTAGGACTCTGAGTTTGCAACGAAGGAACAAGGCAAGGTCTTCTCGCAGTCTAATCTCAACAAGTGCCACAGTCAAAGTTAGAGAAACCCAAGAGATAAGCCTGGCATTTCCCACTCGCCTCTCCCACATCCCTGCAACAGCCGCAGCACTTCCTTCCCAGGTGGGCCCCCAGCCTTCATCCGGTCTCCAGCATCTACTGCCTGTGCCAAGGCCAGCACCTCGTGCCCACTGTTACTGCTTTCACTCCTGGGACCCCCCTAGTCGACTTCACACAGCAACATTAGCGTAACTATTTCTTCTTTTAAATTTCATTTATTTGAAAGGCACAGTGACAGCGGAGAGAAGAGAGAAAAGAACAGGAAAGACAAAGTGGGGGGGAGACAGGAAGGGAGGAGCAGAACAGGGGAGAAATACAGAGAGGGGTGGAGGGGATGAGGGGAGAGAGAGAAAGAGACAGTATATCTTTTATCTGTGGGTTCACTCCCCAAAAGACCTACTAATGCCTAGGGCTGGAACTGAAGCCAAAGCCCAGGAACTCCACCTGGGCCTTGAGCTGAACTGGAAGCCAGGACTAGAAGCCACTGTGATATGGAACATCAGTATTAACAAGTGGTAGTTTAGCTCCCAGTTCCTTGTCAGTAAAAGCAACTGTATCAAAGTATAAATCTAATCAAGTGCATGCTATTACCTAAGGATCTAAAGACATTAAACAGAAATACATCACTTATGCTTCCAAGTCCATGAGATTCTCTCTCTTTTTAAATAAATTTTCATATCTTACAATATGCACACTGAAGTCCTTTACTGTTTCAATTCTCTTAAAGAATTTTATCTCCAGTCATCAATTAACATTAGTCTGCTAGAATCACACGTGTCAGTTCTTCTATAATTGTTTACCTGCTGTTTTGCATGACAGAGTGCCTGGCTTTGCATCCTGTTCCTGCCGCAGCAGAGCCTGGGAGGCTGTTCCCACTGGGAGCCTCAGAGCCTGTCATTCTACAACTGAAGGAGCCCACCAAACCAGCCTGGCTTGAGTTATGTTAACTTCTACTCTGTGCATGATCAGGCTGGTTAAAGGAATACCCAATTCTGTACAATGTGCTCCCCATGAGCAGTGCACCCACACCTGCTGGCCAGGCACTGAGCGAGGGTCTGTCCTGATACTTGTCTACTCAAGTCTGTGTAGCCTGGGTCCTGGCGTGGGCCTGACTCTGAAATGCAAAATTCCGCTGCTTCTCTCCTGTAACCTGGAACACAGCAGAAGCTTAGAATCCGTGTGTTGCTGGAGTCAGTGATAGAGCAACAGATGGAATTTAACAAGCTAAAGTCTTTAGTTTTAAAACATTTAGAGTAATTTATGTATTGAATGTTGTATAACTTATCCCTAAGAATGGAATGACCTAACTAAGAGTTTTACTTTAACATACATTTTGGGAATGTATTCATTTGGGAAACTCAAAGACCCAACATCAAGTACTAATCTTAAATAAAATATTACCTCCAATTACATTTATCAGACTACAGATGAAAAGAGAAGAAACCATTTGTCAGAAAATAATGCCTTTCTATGCATGTGGCAGCTTGTGGCATAGTTAACTGTATAAAAATTCTCAGAAACAGACTTAATGCTGTTTTGAAAGTATTTCACCCAATTTACGAAAGCTTACATTTTTAGGCCACATGAGTTAATACACTCCTCAGTGTACCATAAAATGGAAGAAGACTAAATGGGGATTAAGCACAAAAGCTGGGGCTCGCGCGGCTCTCCAGTCAAGAACCATTAGGGTTGAGCCGACAGCCCATGTGGAATAAGGTGCACCTTCCCACAGGGCTTAGTCAAGTCCAAAACACCAACCTGCCAGCCCTTAAAAATGCATTAAAAATGACGACTTCTTCACACTTTCATTTTTGAAGTAGCACTTTAGTTTTCTGTTCTCATTTTCCACAGGTGCCGTGTTTGCTACCAAGTCATATTTCAGTTTCACTGTGGAACAGCACTGGGTTCAGACCTTGATCAGGCACATCTTGGCCTGAGCAATAGGAGCCAGAACTTAGCAACAACAGAAAGCCACTTAAAGCCATTGCCCATACACTGCCACTTCTATAAAGTATGCTGGGTTTTACAGCACATTTTAGTATGTCATTTTTTCATGCTTCATCTCTTCCACATTAATTTGGCAAAAGCATTTGGGAAACCATCTAGGAATTTAAGAAGAAAAATGAAATCAACAGTAGGATATCATCTTAAAATAGCCTCAACTGAGGATTAGTATTTAATCAAGAACTTTCTGACGATGCCACAACTTTGAAATGAAACAGAACTTTTCAACTTGCCTTTCCACATATTATGTCTATGGGACAAGTTTCATTTCGTTCCTGTTTCTGAGTTAAATCATTAGGTTTTCAGACAAACAGACTTTAAAACTTATCTTTGATGCATAAACAAAATCAAATTGCTAAGTCTTCAGGCTTTACTAAATCCCAAACAAAATTCAGAAATTAGAAATTACGTGATAGATCTTTCAAACGATTTTGCTCAAAAAAACTTCAACGAAATAGCCAAGTGGAAATGCACACGGACAGAAGCTGAGGGGAGTCTGTCACTGGGATGTTTTGGCTGAAGTCAAGAACTTTCTCAACCTAATAGGTCTCCGTCTCTGAAACAGTGGGTTTGAAAGCAACTCAACTTTAAGGCCCTCTGTTCACCGTGAAGATATTTACTTAGCACCTGCAGCATGCTAAGAACCGCTTTACATGCCTCAGAGGCATCGGCGAACACCAAGGGTCTGCCCTTATGAGGCTTCCGCTCTGGCTGGGGGAGAAAATCAGCAATGTCGTGGGAAGGTGACATGTACTGGAGATTAAAAAAAATCACTTCAAAAAAACGTGATGAGAATATAGCGTGTCAGGTGTGGGACTTTTCGCTTGAAGCACCACATCCCAGTGTTCACAAAGCATTTCAGAGCATTTCAGCGCATTCCGAATTAGTGGCTGAGGGATATTCCACCTATAAAAACTATAGAACATTACTATAAAAACTTGAACACTAACAAAACCTCTCTGGAGGCTGTGGTTGGGAATACGTTCATCACACTGTGCAGACCTCTCACATTTTATTAGTCACGACTGGAGGCAATGGAAGGCTCCCCAGATTGGTGCTCTCCTCTGGGGTTCCAGACAGGCGCTTGGAGTTCTCCTGTGTGCCATGCACATGGCTGGAATAGTGGGGCTAAGGAGGTGCAGCAGGATAAAATCTTCACTGCTGGCTTTATTTCTCAAGATTTATTTTAAAGTCAAATTACAGAGAGGAAAAAATAGTGAGTGAGTGAATGAGAGAGAGAGAAAGAGAGAGAGAGAGATCTTCCACCCACTGGTGGAACAGCCAGGACTGGAGCAGTCTGAAGCCAGGAGCCATGAGCTTCATCCAGGTCTTCCAACTGGGTACAGGTACCCAAGTAGTTGGATCAGCTTCAACTGCTTTCCAGGTTCATTAGCAGGGACCTGGATTAGAAGTGGAGCAGCTAGGTCTCTAACTGGTGGCCACACAGACCCTATCTTGTTAAAAGATTTATCTATTTACTTATTTGAAATAGTTACAGCAAGGCAGATAGAGAGAGCTCTTTCGTCCACTGGTTCATTTGCTAAATGGCCACAATGACCAAGGTTGTGCCAAGACGAAACCAGCAGTTGTTCTGGTCCCCCACGTGGGCACAGGGCACAGCTCTTGGGCCATCTTCTGCTGCTTCCCCAGGTTACCAGCAAGAGGCTGAATCAGAAGTGGAACAGCCAGATGAACTGGTACCCATACAGAATGCCCGTGTTGCAGGTGGCAGCTTCCCTGGCTGTTCCACAATGCCAGCCCTGCATATTCACTGCACGTTGCTTACACTATCACTTAGAAAGCCTTCAGGTCTCACGTTGTGCATGACTGAATCAGAGCAAATCAACCACCTTCCTTCATCTCAGATGTGAGCAAGTCCATTTCTGTAAATAGCCCAAAGACAACGCAGCTTCCCTATGGTTTGACTGCTATGCTTGAGGACTCAACAGAGCACACGTGTACAGGCTCTTGAACTGCATCCAGTGCCGTGTGTGTTCAGGGACAGTACTAGAAGAGGCAAGAACTAGTGACTGAAAATTCATGCTAATGTAAGAGCAAAAAACACAGAACAATTTTCAGCTGCCTGGACTGGCGGTGGCTGGGTGTAGTACTCGCCAGCCCTGCCCCCTAACTGAAGCTCATGAATGCACATGGCTGGGAGTCCAGACAATTACTGGGAATCCAGAGTGTGACTGTCCCAGGATCACCAGCTATGATATGAGTGCAGACTGAGTTTACACCTTGTCTTAGAACATCATTCAGCACAATGGGCCAAGACAGGGAGGCTCTCTTTTCCCTGTTACCGGCACTCAGGTTCCACTACTTGGAATGTGATCCCACTTGTCCACACAGGTACAATTTGTGAGAGTGGGATGTGGCATGCCACCGGGATGAACACACAAGCAGCTCACCCTCTGATTACAGCTAACCTCCATGTCTGAATTCCCCCAGTGTTTCATTTCTCCCTCCCGCTTGCTTCCCGCTGTTAATGTCAAGACTAGAAACAACTTAATTTATGAGGTGGCTGAACAACAAACTGACAGCCTGCAGTTGGCTTTGTTAACAGGGCCTCTCTGGGCCACGGGGAATATGTCAGAGGCTGCATCTGTGGAGCCAGATTCCCCAGCTCTGGTGACAGCAGAGACAGGGGCGGCGGGGCTGGTGGGCCGGGGATGACACCGGCGGCTGACTCACCTTGGCAAGCCCCGGTGCGGATGTTGGGGATGAAGCCGCGGCGGCAGGGCTGAGGCTGAGCCGGGCACATCTCACAGGGGTGGCCCCAGGCCCGCCCGATGGTGGCACAGCACAGCGTCTTGGTGCAGACGATGCCTGTCAGCTGCCCTTGGCACATCTGGTTGTTGACCTGAGTGAAACACGGGCCGGTCCTGTAATCTGGAATGTGAGAGAAGGAGGAAAGACAGGTTTTATGACTGTATACTAAGCCAGTGCTTCACACACTTAAAACAAAGGACCTGAAGACAAAAACCCGGGCAGCTTCATTGTGAAAGTTGGTACTGTTCCAGTCGCGAGGAGCGCAGTGAGCTGTCCATGCCTGCTACAGCAGACGCTGAGGAGTTGGCTCATGGCCGTATCTGGTGCACAGATGTGCTTTCTTGGCCCAGTTCACGTTCTTGAGGAATTTCAATTAGTAGCCAACGCTATAAAATTGGGACATTTCACATGAAATTTTTATTTTTGTCTCTTCTTTAAACTAGAGGTTCTGGCCCCACTAGGTATGCCACGCCACCAGGGGAAGGGAGGAACGAAACGGTTCTCCCTGGGACATCATGCCACGCTACAGCCTTCCCTCCTCTCCGCTCCCATCACTCCCTGATAAGCCCATGCAGACCCAGAAGGCACCTGCTTTTTATTGAGCTGAAGTTCCCTGTTCCAATGAGTTGGCCAAGAGCTCGGGAAATAACAAAATACTTCTTCCATATCACAAGTACATTTGGGCAGCCTGAATTGTCCATAAACGATTAGCTCTCTAACAGTCCAATTTCTGTTTCTCTGTCAGTCTGTTTACTTTCCTGGCTGGCTCAGTTAGGAAGAAAGTCCTAACATGACCCTGTCCAAGTCCGTCACAAGGGTAGAGCTGGGTTCTCGGGCAGGTGACTGCATTATTCCTGTGTCTGCAACAATGATGGTCAAAGACCTCACAAGCTGTGAGTTACGTGTGACACATGGGTCTCCACGTATGTTCCATAGACCAGCTGCAGATCCCCATCCACAGCCACTGACAGACATTCAGGAGAATGAGACAGCTTAGGAAGGGCTAACATAAACCCTTCTCTCTGCCACCATTTACTTCAGGGAGCTTTGCGGATAACTGATACACATTCTAGTAGACAGAAGTGCAACCAAGGATCGAACCATTTTTCAGTTTAAGCTTTGAGGCTGTTGTTGTTCTGAGAGATGGAAATGATCAGCTTCCTGAGAATGAATGAATTTAGTACTTCACATTTGTTCTAACAACAGAAATATATGCAAAAGTCATTCCGTTTTTTCCTTTCCTCGAGACTGTGTACATACTAACTCTTGGGAACATTCAATGTGTCACTCAAGCTTGTTCCTGATTAGCCCATACACACGGGGGCACTCCACTCAACGCAGGCAACAGGAGAGGTTGAAGTGACTTTTGTGAGGACAAAACTATTTCAAAGGCAGAAGAGCCAATATTACTGTGATTTTTATTAAAAAAAAAAAAAAGACCTGTCACTGGGAAGCATCACATGGAGACATAATGCAGCATTCACAATGCTGGGGCGGAGGCCGCAGCGCGTTAAAATGGTGTTTAACACAAAACTTGTATTTTCAAAATGGAGAGTGGGGCCTTTTCACAGAGGAAGACAACATTTTATAGGTTCAATACATAGAAAGAAAACCAAGAATAGGTAACTTTTTTGGCAAGCTGGTTTAATAATCTGTTATTCTGCTGATTTACTTTAACAAAAATAGCTCGTCTTAATCCCCTACATAAGAACAGCAGATGTGTTGGCTGCAAATTGCATTTTTCATATTAAAAAAAACCGATCTTTGGAGTAGATGCAGGGATGTGTCAACCTTATAAATAAGCACACTTCCTCTACCACCAATTGTAAATTTTTCAAACCTATTCCACCATCCTTTAGACAGTACACATTGTACCATTTAAAATAAATATTTGACTCTCGATTACAAATTACAATTAGTTGTGAAAATGTGGGAAACAGTCTAATTTTTGCAAAAAAAAAGATTAAATAAGTTTTAGTCATCTATACAGCCCTTAGTTATATTCTGTACACTTTCAGGATTCCCAGAATTAGCTTCCCTCACAACATCACTTGGCCAGAGCATTCCTTCTTTGGACTGTAACACTTCCCTACAACTGCATCCTCTCAGATCCCTGGGGAGAAGGCAAGTGCTGGGACAAGGACAGCCGTTTGTCTTCTCGGTCACCTTCTGTGTCTCTGATGGTGACTTTAGACTTTTCCACCCAGAAGCAAGTGTACCAGTTCTTCTTTTCTTATTTGCTTGCATTTTCCTCCTTACAGATTGTGCTATGTCCACCTTTTCATAGTACTGACAGTTAATACCCCACACTTGAAGCTTACATTCTTTACCTAATTTTTTAAAAAAAAAATAATTACTAATATATAAAATAAGAGCAAACACTAAATACTAGAAAAAAACATTTAAATTTCCTAATGTTATAAAAGCATCTCCAATCACAAACTCTTAATGCATTTTCGTCAGGAACAAAGGGGTGTCAAGAAAACCTTAACTGACTGTTATTGGCCATGTGTTATCTTTATAAAAGACCCACCATGGGGAAAATATTATTGCATACCACACGCACTGTTGACAGCCAAAGGCATGCTTGCAAGTGTGCTTCCAAAGTGAAAAAGGGAGAGCTGCTTATCACTCGGTAAGGTGGACCCACTAGACTGAGAACACAAACACGTACAGTAACTTGATTCTCATTTCCTAGCTATGTGGCTTCTCTGAGTCACAGAGTTTTGAAAGCAATTGTAAATAGGGTTCCATGCACCTCACTGTAGTTACAACTAAAAAGCTAGTAAGTGTGCCAGCTGAAGTTCCTGGTGACCAATACAAGCAGAGCATGCTGAGGTCGACATTCCCAAAATCCCACGGATCAGAGTTTTCTTAGCAACACTAACAGTGGCCCTGGTTGTCTGCAGCTCTAAATCCTAAGTGCTAAATAAACTCAGCAAACTGATAGAGCTGTTGTCGTCCTTGAATAGTAAAACTCATTCAACCTCAGGAAGTTTTAGAATTAAGTATGGAAATGTTTAATGTTTCAGCTTTAAGGTAACAGTGCAAACATTATGCTTCATAGCAAAGGAACCATGTCATGGGTCTGTCTTCCAACTATGATTTAAAATAAATAGTTAACTACCATATTTATATTTGCGATTTATAAGTTAAAATGTTACTATGGTTTACATACAAATGGAATCATTCAAGAAACTTTAGGCTTTTATACATTCATTAACTGGAATACTTCTACAAGCTGTTTTAAATGTACTGCCTTATAATTAAGTACTTACAAAGGACTCTAGGGTATCTATCCAAAGTATTTCAAGAAATAAATTTAAGATATAAAATAGCTCCAAAAGAATGATGGGATCTATATTCTTTTTCATCTGTTCACAATACGTCCAGGGCAGTATGGCCCTCCAGGGTCACACCTGCTGGCCACATACCAGGGTGAGTGCTTTTGTGAGCTAATTGCTCAGGCACTGAGACTACTGAATTCAAGGTCCTGGTTCAAACATATCGCAGAACCATCCTGGGGACAGATGGCACCAATGTTTACTTTCATCAGCAGTGACAAAGGGAATCTTTTTCCTCACATCTTCGCCAACACTGAAGAAAGCAGGTGCCTTGCCGGCACTGAAGGAAAATGATGCCTTGCTGTTATTTCCAATGATGACAACATCATATCATCCCATGTCCTGAAAATCAAGGGCAACTAAGTTTGATGATGGGTACCTTGCAATACCCCCTCCCACGAAGCAGATTCTTCTGTCCTGAAAAAAACATTCTTGCCACCTTTACAAAAGAAAGTCAAGAGCCGAGATGAATAAGTGGGGAATCACGAGGCCAGATGACATGGCAGCTTAGCTGCAGTTGTGAAAAGCTTCACTCCTTGAGTGGCTTCATCACCCCCCCCTTACACACACACACACACACACACACACGTCAACTGCCTTCTCCATCTGGGGTAACTGCCTTCTGCTAACTGACCAGAGCCCATCACTGCCTAGGTGAGCACCACAGAAGCCTCCTCCTACCTACACATGTCCCAAATTCTAACCAGCAAGCCCAGCTTTGCTTCTTTTGCGATTTCTTTCCAAGATGGATCCCCATCCAGACGGGTCGTATCAGGCAGGGGCAACCTGCCTCTGCTTTAAGAGAAATATGGAAGATTTTTTGCTTTTGCCAATGGATGAGTGGCAGCCTTCATTGTCACAATAGCATTACATTTTATTCCTAACATAATGCCACTATTTAATGCTTCAGTGGAATGTGGCCTTGGCAAAGATACATAGCTTTCACCTCTCTCTACACAGGGCTAAGGCTGACATCAAAGAGCACTGGAAGAATGAAGAGGCAAGAAGGATAATGAGGTGCTGGCCAATGATGCAAGCCAAATTGCTATCTTTGATGTCACATTTCATAAAGATGAAGGCCGTCACAGATGTGGTCCTAAACGCTGTGGCCAGAGGACGTGAAGAATACTCTCCCACGAGCACAGCTAATTAATGTGCTTTCAGGACAACATAAAACACTGAGTACTAAGAACTAAGATGGTTACTTGAGCAGAAGTTTCTGAAGAATAAAGACCCAAAAACAGTGTGACATGAGTTAATAAAGAAGGGATCAGTGATCCAAGGATGGATCACATGCAAGATAACATCAGGGCATCTAAGAAAAACCTGTAGCATAGTTAGGTAGACTAATTTCAGGAAAAAGTGGCATATTCTCACAAAACACAATCATGGAAGTCAGAAATGGAACTCTTGGAAACAAACATCTAGAATAAATCTTACATGAATACTTCCCTAGTTCCAAACATCATGAGGTCACGAGACTGGTTATGTTTATGGTGGCTGTGAATATATTCAATACCCATGATTTACTGCCAAGCTCTTCATCTAACGGTGCCTATCTGGGGCAGTACTGTTACGCTGAAAATTTTGCCAAAATCATTGCCCCCTGAGCGGTACAGGTGTCCTAAACTTTCACTAAGTTGATCAAATCTAACCAATCACACCTTTCCTAGGAAGTTGATGAACTATTCGATGAGAAGACAAAGTTGCCGGTTCAGCACCCTGACACAGGATTTCAGCTAGATGGCTGAGATTTTTACACAGAAAGATGTCATG